GGATAACAGTAATTTGAAGAGGAAGAAGCATATAAACAAGTCAAGTCAATGACAAGTCAATGACATGATGCAATCTGCAATTTTTTTTTAAAACTCCGATTACTTAACTTTTATGCTTGTTTGTTTGTTTTTTACTGACTTAAATAATACATTTAAATTGCTGCGCTGTTTGATAAGTAGAATGGAAAATTACTTTTGGGTTTTTTTGTAAACTGTCTTTAGATTACCTATCGTAAAATTTGCATTTTAAAATCAACTGAATTAAATTAAGAAAGGTTACAATTTGTACAACTGAAGAGAAATGATGAGCAATGTTTTATGTGTTGATGAAAGCAGAGATTGGTGTTTTTCTCTGTAACATCAAAATTTACACTTTACAAAATTTACTGTGCATTTTCCCATATACCATTGCCTGGTGTCTGAGCTGGCAAAGGTCATCCCTTGCAATATTAAGAAGCTGTTGTCAAAAATTACGATCTTAATTTTTATTTACGAAGCAAAAGATATGAGTCACACTATCTTGTACAACATAATTTACAGTATACAAAGTCTAAAAAGTCTAAAACAGAAGGATTTTAAGCTAAAAAAAATAACACCCTAACAAATTTGGAAAAAAAAAAGATTCATTTGAAGTGGTTGGTGCTTTGAGGTACGTTATGACACAACCTTGCACTTACTCCAAGGTTGTAGTAAGCAGTTTTACCATCATGGTACTTTATTGTTATAGTTTTCTCCAAGTCACGTTTGAAGAAAGTATCAAAATGTGGAAAACTGAGAATCTCTCGATCAATCAACCAAATGGACATTGAAGTATGTCATCGGAGATTTGTTTTCCTGCCCGCGGGATGAATCCCTGGCCCACTGCATCAATGAAGGCTGTTTGTATAAATGTCTGATTTCAACAGTAGGTGCTGAATCATATCCTGTTTTTGTATTTTTTATGTATGTCCTTATAGATCATATGGCATCAGCAACATGGCATTGACTTGTCATTGACTTGACTTGTTTATATGCTTCTTCCTCTTCAAATTACTGTTATCCTATCATGACCGATTTTATCCATATTTTCAGGGAAAGCCTGTGGAACCAACATGTACGATTGCTACCTTTCTTCTTTGTTTCTTTCATAGAGTAGGAACACCACAAAATGAATAACCTCACCGACTTTGTTGTTGCGTGGACTCAATTTAAATAGATTAACTGATAAAGCTTTTTTTTTTTTTTTTATTGTTTGTGTTTTATCCAAAGATTCCTGCCAATGGTTTAAGATGAGTATAAACAACTAGTTGATGATAATTAAGTGATGTTCACTCGGACAATTTTTTAAAAAGTCTGATGTTTTATTTTACACCGAGAGCGGCCAAAGTCCAGGTTCAGCAGAAGGCTGAAGGCATCTGATTCAGGCTTCAAACTAAGTACCCGTTTGCTTTCCTGTAGAGCTTTGGTAAGGTTAAATTTAGTGGGCTAAAGAAAATCAGACAGTTGATTCTCCAATGTGAGAAATCCTTGAGGTAGTCAAGTTTCTTGTTTGTTCAAATTTTGTTAGTCATTTACATAGTATGATGACTAATTAACAGTTGATTATTAAGTGATCTTCACTTAATAAATACAATGTAATCTTTCAATTCATAGATGAAGTTCTATTATCGGAATTCTGCAAATTAAATATTTTGTCGTATATTTCAATAATTCCTTTCATTCAGTCTAAGCTCCCTGAAAAGGAAAAATTACCTTTCAGATCGATATATTTTTGATGCTTTGAGTATCATGATATTTTTACTTCATCTGGCTGATATGATCTTCTTTAACACATGCTGATATTGATCGTTAATAAGCTTATCATTTACAAGAGGTGAACATTAGTGAACATTAGTGAACAGATAGCATCATGAGAAGCAAGGAACAAAAGCTGTAGATAATTTTAACGGTAAAAAAAAAAAAACAATCACCATGTTGTGACCAACTCTGGGAGAAGGGCTGTGTAGTGAGTATGTTTTTTTTTTTTATATTTGTTTTTAGGTAAAGTGCACCATTAGCAAACTTAGTTAATGTTATTATAAGTTGGGCTAGTTGTCAGAAGATGTGAGAGGGGTTGTTTTAAAAAAAAAAGAAAAAAAAATCACTGATTGAATGGTTGGTTGATAGCCAGCATATATTTGAAGTTGTGCAACAGAAACCAAAATAAAAAAATTATATGAAACCTGAATGGCCATTCAGTTTGATAAATATTTACGCAGACCATCATTCAATAAATTGATAGAAAATCCAAGTGCACGCATCAACTCTAAATAATAGGAATTGTATTCACCATCTGAATACAGACTGAAAGTTTACATTGATCATTTATAAGCTTCAGTAACGGAAAATTCAACAACTATATTTCGTTATTGAACACACTCAAGTGTATAAAATGATGGATGGAGGAAAAAAGCATCATTTGGGCCGAGAAACATACAGCATATAAGTTAGAGACAAAAGTAGTGGATAATGATAAAGGTAACAAAATAATTTACCATGTCGGAGCGTAGTTGCGCAGTGTTAAGAAAAAATAAAGAAAGAAAGAGAGAAAAAAAACTTTCAACTCTGGGGAAAGCTAAAACTTAAATATGAGTAGTCTCAGTAAGGTCTGTTTAATAAGTGTCACATATTCTTAAGAAATAAATTTACAAATGAGAAACTTTTACTGACATGTTTCACACTAGCGAGTGTTACAGAGAAAAATGTATGAGTTTCAAATGTGTTTATACCGGCGTTTACTATTTGGAGAAAGCATGAAGCTCTGGGAAGATCAGTGTTGATTCAGCAGCAGGAAAAAATTGAACCAAAGTAGCATTTACAATGATGCGAGGATAAATTTTGGAAAATTCTGGAAATTCTTTAACCAAGGAAAGTTAAAAGTTTAATTTGAATAACCTCCCGTTGGCCTGCTTACAAACAGTCACATATTCTTAAGAAGTACATGTACAAATGAGAAACATTTACTGAAATGTATCACACTAGTGAGTGTTACAGAAAAATCTATGAGTTTCAAATGTTTAAACCGGCATTTACTATTTTGGAGAAAGCATGAAAGAAATCACAAACTTGTAGTCAGTACTAACTAGTCATGCTACCATAAATAATGTAGTTAAATAGCAGGTTTTCTTTAGACGTATGTATTTGCAGGGGGCAGGGGCTTTTTTTTTTTTTTTTCCCTCACGACTGCCCAGACACACAACAAGGCAATTAGCACTCCCCTCTGCATTGACCCGCTGCGGCCGGACTTCTCACTGATGCTGCAGTTCTGATTCTCTCTGAAGCGTGTGTCGCTCACAGATAACTGAAGGTAATTACTCTTTAGACAAAGAGCGATAAAACTGAGAAAAAAAAAAAACCAGATGTGGTCTGGTCTGCCCTCATGAACCACCAGGGTTCATGAGGGCCTTGCTCTGAATTCCCCCGAGGTGGCTAATTTGTCATTCTGTATCGCTCTGAATCCCATCCCCGAGGTGGCTAATTTATCATTCTGTCTGCATCCTGCAAAGTTTGCAAGTATGCAACTAGTACATTCTTCTCTCGCAGGCCCTGCGTGTCGCAGCTCAGACCCCAGTTGTAGGCCTGGCTGAACACAGGCACAGAATCAGAAGCAACATCTCCGGCATCTATTTCAACTTCACTAGGCTTTACTACATAATTATATACATTTTACTTGGTTAAATAACTGTTGTTGGTGCTGTATTACTCTTAAAAAGAAAGTCAGATACGGCATTTTCTGAATTCAGCAGAGAGAAAACAGAAAAAACCTAACACACAGACCATATGTCACTGAGAACGACCCCCGAAGGATTTCACAGGCCGTACCTATATTTGATCAAGCCCCCAGCTCAGACCCAGTCGTAGGCCAGGCACAGAATCAGAAGTAACATCTCCATTCCAAATCTATTTAAACTTCAGTAGGCATAGTATATAATTATATACATTTTTCTTGATTAAATAACTGTTGTTGTATTGGTATTACTCTTAAAAAGAAGTCAATAGGAGCTTTCAAGAAAACAAAGAATAATAGATGTCTAAGAAATGTTCATTTAAGGAGGGGTACATCCTGACATCTGGAAGGGAGGGGGGGAAGGTGTGTGTGTGTGTGTGTGTGTGTGTGTGTGCGTGCGTGCGTGTGTGCGTGTGTGTGGGGGTGTGTGGGTGTGTGTGTGTGTGTGTGGGGGGGGAGGGGTAAATAGAGGTCAAAGGGTCGTGGCACCTGTCAAAATGAGATTTGATGAAAGCATGCCCCTAATGTCTCTCTCATGAAGTGTCACTGAAAAACTAATGAAAGCTGAACGGGGGCACAAAAAAAACAAGTGAACTGATACAGCGCCCGAACAGTTCATTTTCCGACTCAACCTAAGCAAACATGCTGTTTACAAGCAATAACCACTGCTGTTTCATTACAGCTTCATCAATAATTACCTACAAACGTCACTCCGTACCACAATTTACTGCTTCATCTCTGATTGCGACACAATGAAGACGTCCTGAACCCCCCCTCCATTATCAAAAGTAAAAAACGAGGTTTTCATAAATGACTAGAATCACCTTGTGCTGAGTCATCCTTTAGTACGAGTTACTCTGATGTAGGTTTTCGGCTGTTTCTCACCTGTTCTATCGACAGGATACAAATCAGAGATTAATTAGAACTTTGTACGTCTCTTTCTTTCATAGCTTTGTAGGGCAGCAAGACAAATCAAATGTCTGTAGCTTTAATTTTCTGTCGGAACAGGACATTTTAAGATTATACCTCTTGAAAATGTTGCTGTCCTCTAACATTTCGGAGAAGAGTTCAAAATATGTAACACTGATTTAATTTATGTGGTTGCTATGAATGAAATGAATAGAGCGTTGCCCTACAATTTGGCCTAATTTCACTGCATGTAAAAAAAAAAAAAATCTCATTTAAACAGTCACACCCCTTTTTCATAAACCCCTCCCATTTCACGGTCAAATAAAAGCCTGCCTGCATCTTCAGCTTGCATCTTTTGCTTAACCGGCTGCTTTCAGAGCTACCGAGTTAGATTGGACGTACAAAGATCATCAAGATGGTCCCTGCAGTTACACTCTACAATGGAGCCAAGATGCCCTTAGTTGGTCTGGGAACCTGGAGGGTAAGGCTAAGCTTTTGTACATTTCTGTAAAAAAATCACTGCAAGCTCATCTGTGTTGGTCCTGCCTCTCACCAAATGCTTTCTGTAAGCTTTTAGAAACTTAAAACCATATTGTACATTTTCATGCTGATGTACTGAACACCCAGAGTTGTTAGAGTAGAAATAAGCAGAGAAACCACTGCAGTCACACTGTGCCTTGCGTTATCTGCACACAATGGTAAATATTAACATTTTACTGCAGGCTAAGCTCCACCTTTTGATGGTTGACTAAAGGTCGTTTTATCTGTATGCAACTGAAGATACAACAGAAGACAACATGCTACATGCTAAAAGTAGGAGCTTTAAAGTTTTTGGAGTTTAGATTAAAGAAAGACATGTGGCCATGATTAAAACTACTTCAAAAACAACAAGGCTCACCCACACTTGCTTGATTTCAGTCACTTTTTAGGCAATTTATGGGTTGAAATAAATGGATGGCTGCAAATTGAGACATCATTTACTATGTTAACAAAAAAAAGGGACATCAAGATATTGCCACAAATGTTTGATGCCTGAGCGTTTGCATGTTTGTGCATTTGCCTAAACCTTCGCAGGCCGAACCGGGGAAGGTCACCGAGGCTGTGAAGGTGGCTATAAGCAGCGGCTACAGGCACATAGATGCTGCCTTCGTGTACGAGAACGAAAGAGAAGTTGGGGAAGGAGTGCGCGCCATGATCGAACAAGGAGTGACAAAAAGGGAGGATTTATTCATCGTCAGTAAGGTACTCCAAAGAATGACTTGCTGGAGAAATAAGGGACAAATTGTGTGGAAAACAAGGTTTTCCATGCTCCAAATTGTCTCCAATTTCTCAAACCATGGAAATCTAAATTTCACACTAAATATGTGGCCTGTGTGGCTATAAATATCACTGAGCAGTTTGTTTAGCCAAAGTAAAAGATGTTTCTAAACAGCTACAGAGCATTTCTTGTAGCATCTCCTGTTCAGCTACAAAGTGTCCCACTGTGTTTCCAGCTCAACTTTAAAAACTCTGCAATAATTCAGAGCTTTAGGCCATCGTTCCCACATTAGCAAAAATATTGTGGCTATGTGAATATTTTCATCCATTTTCTATTTTTTTTTTTTTTTACTGAGATAATCAACCAACCATTGAGTCACTAATTCTAGTAGTTTTCTAACACATCAAGTGTATTCAGTACTAATAAGTACTACATCTGCTGATTTTACCAGACAAAGTCACATGGCAGCAGCCACAGTATGGCAGTGAAGCTTACCAATGATCCAAAGCTACTGACTGACTCAGAAGTTTTGGCTTCCTTCAAAGGGCTACAGACATCCAGAATTCACTTTGACAAAAAAATTATTGTGGCTCATGCTTGTTTCTCCTCCTATATTAACACTTCTTTTTATGTGTGTGTGTTTCTCAGCTATGGTGCACCTTCCATGTTCCGTCGCTGGTAAGGGGAGCATGTGAGAAAACTCTCAAAGACCTGAGACTGGACTATGTGGACCTTTACCTTTTACACTTCCCAGTAGGAGTACAGGTCAGCCCACAATTACCCTAACATCACTTAGCATTGGTGACCTTACAGAAAAGTGCATGTTTGCTACTTAACATTAATTTTAGAAGCTAAAATCCAAATTTCTTTGAGCACTTCAGAAGCCCTATAGTCATTACCTTCACCCTGATGCATAAGAACTGCATTTTCTCCTCACAGCCAGGGGAAAAGATTTTTCCATCAGACGAGAACAACGAAATCATTTGTGATGACAGCTACTTCCTGGACACATGGGGGGTAAGTTAAACAGCCACTGAACAAACAGACCAGCTCTTCAAATGGTTTAGTGTTTTTTTAAAAATTTTTTTATAATTCTTGCGTATCATTTATTTAAAAGGCAATGGAGAAGCTGGTGGATGATGGTTTGGTCAAAGCCATAGGTGTTTCAAACTTCAACAAAGACCAGATTGAAGCCATTCTCAACAAGCCCGGCCTCAAATACAAACCAGCCAACAATCAGGTAATTCATACAACTGGGTTTTCTAAATCATATGAAATATATTGGAAAAAAAAATAGATTGATAACATTTGAGTGCTTCTTTAGATTGAGTGCCACCCATATCTAACCCAAGAGAAAATGATCAACTATTGCCACTCAAAGGGCATCACAGTTACAGCTTTCAGCCCCCTGGGATCTCCAGACAGACCCTGGTGAGCTGACCTGCCATTTGCAGAACTCACATCAGTGTCATCACTCCAGAAAACTAAATTATCACTAACTGCAAACAATTCACGTCCTTTGAAAGGGCTTCCTCTGATGACCCCCGTCTTCTAGAGGATGCTACCATCTTGGCCATTGCTAAGAAGCACAACAAATCTCCAGCACAGGTAAGACAGGAGCTGATGACTCCTTAAGATTAAAGCTACTCTTTCTTATGTGCGACAAAAAAATTAATGTGGTAAATACTACAGACTACAGAGGTCTTTATGACCTTCATTTTTCTGTAAGGTCATTATGCTTCTCCATGAAAGTGATCTTATAACGTTGCTCTACAAGATCACTGATAACAGCAGCGCAAGTGAACGTGAGAAATTAGTAAAAATAAAAATATTGTGCTCTGGTGATGTTTTGATCAGCTGTGAGACCCTGAAATGTCTTAAAAGTTTGAAAATGTAGGGCGATTGATAACATCAGTGCCCAAAGGCACAGATGTTTATCATAAGAACATCATAAGAAGGTCATTTGTATGGTGTTTCGGGGTGAACCACCAAATATCACATCGTGCAACGGTTTCTGTTTTTGAAAATATGCTCCTCATATTCCCTTCCTAGGTTCTCATGCGTTTCCACACACAGAGGAATGTGGCCGTCATCGCCAAGTCAGCAACACCAAGTCGGATCAAGGAGAACTTCCAGGTAAAACGACCTTCATCAGCATCCATGTCAAAAGGATTTAGGAAAAGGATCCTCAGCTGTTAGGTTCTACTCTTTCAAATCGATCTCGTCTCTCTTTTAGTTGTTTGACTTTGAGTTGAGCCAAGACGACATGAAAACGATCCTGGGCTTGAACAGGAACTACAGAGGATTCCCAGCAAAGTGGTGAGTAGAAATGACACACCATGTAGTTCGTGTGCTATTTTTCCACCTTTTGTCATGTTGCAATAACCTTCAAAGAGCTAAGGAGAGGATGGGCGTTACATTAGCTTTATGTCATGTTATTCCCTCATCAAAAAAACATACCTGGAGTTTTGCTTTAATTCTTTCATGCCAGTTGATGGTGCGAAAAGGCCATTTGCTGATCTCCCAAATAACTTAAAACACAGACATCTGTAATGTGACAAAATGTGGAAAATTCAGGAAGTGTGAATAATTTTGAATAAGAAACGACACATAGGCATTAAACTGTCGACTCCTGCTTCGAATCGTGAAGTTTAACAATGTTCCATTGTCTCCCCCCCTCTTCCCAACAGGGCCATAAAGCATAAAGACTACCCCTTCAATACAGAGTACTAGCCGATGCAGCACTGTTTCTGCTTGATTCTTCTTTGTGGGGAAAAAAAAAAAAAGATGAACATATTGTGTAATTAAATTACTGCCTAATTATTGTCTATGGAACCTGCAGGAAATGTCACCAAAAAATTGTTTATGAATCTTTAGTTAGACATTAAAAGGGAAGAAAATGGTTTAAATAAAGGCTGATTTGTAATATGACTAAATCTAGAAGAAGCAAGAGTATCGTGACAATATTATCTCCAATCAAATGAAAAATCATTAAACAGTTTATGTTGATCTGCCACAGTAATGAACATCTAGTCAACAGTTAGTTTGCCATAATGTTCTTATGGACAACTGTATTTGATGCACTGGTATTGTGTAACATCTACTGAATTTGTTGAATTAAAGACTTGCTGTTCAAAATGCCATTTTTAATGTCTGAGGCTCCTTTTCTGAGCTCAATGTCTCGCACTTCAAAGAATGTTTGATTCTGGAGAACTAGTTCCCCAGAATCAAACATTAACCACTCAGTTTATTTCTTTCACCATTAAAGATAGGAAACAGGATAAACTTGTGACATAATTCATGACAGAACTTTATTGCACAGCTTTATACACACAGATAACATGAGAAGTCAAAGCTGGCGGTTGTTTCGTGAGTTGATACGCATGACTGCAAAGTGCTACATATGAGTCAGCCAAAGACAAGCTTTCTGGATTGCAACATGTTCAGGTTTTCAGTGGTATATGCTTGGAAATTGACCAATAATATGTAAATCTTAGCCGCAAATTGAAGGAGCGTACTTAAATGTAACAGGTGGTGTCATAAAAATATTTTTATCTTAAAAATGCAAAGGTTTACCAAAGTCAACATGCCCCTGAATTTAGAAAGGAACGCCAAACTTAAGATTTAAAACTAAAAAATAATTTGATATTCTTCAGGGATGGTAACAATTGAGGGACGTCAGTAACTTAAATGCAGCTTAAAGCAGAACTCGATTCGCAATGAGACAGACAAATGGAAAGAGAAAAAAATAGGACTATGCTAATATTATGCTTCTGCTCTCAAAAAAAGTAAAACAAACAAAAAAACTCTTCTAGGACATGAGCACGTCCAGAGTGCGAGGAAGCAAGTGTGGAGCACCTGTGGAAAATCTGTTGACTTCCCTTCAGAACTCGGTGTTGAACGGGTAATCCTTGTGTTTCAGGCCCCTACAGAAAGAAGGAAAAACATTAAGGTGCAATAGAAAACCTCTCCTTTTGTGGACTTTTCATCTGTTTGTTGTACTGCTGGATTTCATAATGTAGACAAAATGAACCAGTCAGTTAGCGTTAGAGCAGCTAAACAAAATAGTAAGCTTTTGCATATTATTATGACTAAGATCACTGTTAACGCCATCTCCTCCACAAGTGCTGACTCAAAAGAAATTAAGTCATATTTTTTATCATAGAAAATATAGCAAATATCTTCTACCTCATTGTAGGTGCAGCTGTTGAACTACCTTTAAACATAAAATTTGGTCTTCACATGGATTATGAAACTAATTAGATTATTAGACAGCAGAGAGATAATGAGAAATAAACACTGATATATTAAAATAGCTAATATTAACTCAGACATGAAATAATCTTGTAACCATGCAAAAAAAAGAACCATCAAATAAAAGCACAATAGCAATTTTTATTTTTACCAATGCATGCTGCAGCATCTCCAGTTCCGATTGAATCCCAGTATGGTCTTCATTTCTTCCTCGGTCAGTTCAAAGTCAAACACCTGGAACAGTTAAGTAGCTCTTGGGTCAGATTTAGAGCAAGAAAAGCAAAAAAAAAAAAAAAAAAAAAAAAAAAAAGAAAAAGAAAGAAAAAAAAAGTTTTTTCTCTGAAAAGCAAAATATAAGCTAATCACCGAAATACCTGGAAATTCTCCTGAATGCGTTGTGGAGTGATGGACTTTGGGATCACAATCACGTTTCTTTGGATGTGGAAGCGGATCAGGACCTGGAAAAATATGGAAGTGGGCAGGATATTAAACATGCATTAAAGTTGGAGACAAATAGCAACAGCGTCAAACATACATGTCTCTTATCGTCTCTGTAAATACTGCTGATTGTGTGCCAAGAAAAACAAAAGGGGAACACGAATTAAGGTTTGTGGCATGAAAGTTTTTCTGTACCTGAGCAGAAGTCTTTTTGTGCTTGTCAGCGATGGCCTTGATGTTGGGATCGTCCATAAGTGAGGGGTCTTCTGGCTTAGCCCTGAAATTGAAATCACTTTCAGGGGTCAAACATTGTTCATTCACTGCAGTGAGAGCACACAATAACCAGCAACATGAATCAATTCAGCGCACAACATTTACTGATGTAGCTGATGTTTAGTTCACAAATTACAAAATACACCACACATAGGCAAGGAGGAACAACAGTCACATGCTGAAACTAACCAAAGGGACGTGACAGACTGAACAGCAGGGAGGAAAACAAAAATAGCAATGCAGATCGTTTTCTGGGGAGCTTTAGCCGCCCCAGCGGATACAAACGGTGACATTTCTGGGGTCTGTTTGTGGCTCCTGACTGCAGCTTCGTTCTTCTCATGCTGAAAATGCGCAGAGTGCTGTATTTAAATGCTCATCTAAGACATGAATAGCGCTGAAATTATTGTCTTGATCCGAATAAGCCCACTGCTACAAAAGTGTTCTTTAAGCTTGAGTCCAGTCAGTTTTGATGAGACTTTTTGATAACTCGACACATTTCTTTTTACCATTGGGAGTGCAGCTAGTTCTGCACAATACGTGTGTTTCTTCCACATTACAGACATTTACACAACATTTTGACTTGGACAACATACCAGGGTCTGTCAGGGGACCCAAGAGGGCTGTAAGCAGTCACTGTGATGCCTTGAGAGTGGCAGTATTCGATCAGCTTATCCTGGGTCAGGTATGGGTGGCACTCGACCTGGGAAGGAAACGCTATTAGGCAATGGCACAAGTCAGCAAGAGCTAAGGCACATTGCACACAAATATTGGGATTTCATAGGCAGGCAGAAAGTAGAGCAAAATTGTCAAGAGGAATAAAAAAAAGAATACTTTCTTCTTTAAAAGAAAATCTGAAATGTGTGGCTTGCAGTTTACTCTACCTCAGTACTGAAAGGCCCTTTTCTTAGCTGAAGCATTTTGTAGCAGGCTACATGTGAAGGTATTTAGTTAAACATGTTTTTGTCAAACAGGAATCATTAAAGACTTTGTGAAACAGGAACCTCTCACATAGAAACTGGTTACATAAAATAAGCTACGCAGTGGTAAACAATCGGCATGAAGAGGAAGAAAATGGCCGTCTCTACAAGTTTTGCCAATTTTCTGACTCTGCCAAATCGAATGCATAGAATCAGTGAACATCAGTTTTCAAGTCTTGATCTAAATAGTTCTACTGGAGCTTTTGCAGGAAGGGAAACCTCTGCTCTAGTCTTTGCTGCCTTCAACATGTTTTTTGCATCATCCTCCTTACTCACATCCCAAATAATGAATCTATTTTAAAAAGATAGATTCGCTGATATAAAAGACAGAAAATGTCTTTGTCTGGTGCGTAAGAAAAAAGAATGGGCCTTTAATTTCATTAGAAAGCAGCAGCAGAGCAGTGATTGAGAGCAGTGGCGCTCTAGAAGCACAAAAATATAAGGTCACCCCAGATAATCAGAGTGGCCTGTGGGAAAGCTGCTATGGCTCATTGGGAATGGCCAGAGCAGATTGGAAGAGACAGATAATACCATTACTTATGCCCTTTCAAAGAGACAAACTGGACATGTTATTAACAGCAATACTCTTCGGTTTCAATGGATGACGTAAGCAGCAACCTTTAACGACCAGCGTTTTGCTAGTCGTTAAGGTGGCGACTAAGGTAAACTCAAGCTTACCTGGTTGTTGGCAGGCTTGTACTTCAGGCCGGGCTTTTTGAGGATGGCTTCAATCTGGTCCTTGTTAAAGTTGGAGATGCCAATAGCTTTGACCAAGCCAGCGTCGACCAGCTGTTCCATACCCTGAGAATGAAAAACAAAGGCCAAACGATGCATTTAATGACACAAGCAGTCTACTGGTATTATAAGTAAACATGCACTGCAACGTTTCTGCCTGCACAGTTGCTCTTTTTTTTTTTTTTTATAAATCAAATCTTTTTTTATATCTTCACCAAGGACGTCTGCATTGCTTCAATATTTGAATGTGATACTTGAATTTTCAGCAAACTGCAGTTGAGAGAAGTTATGTTTTACCAGCTTACCTCCCATGTCTCCAGGAAGTGAGTATTATCGCCGATCAGCTCCCCATTACCGTCCAAAGGGAAAAGATCACCACCGGACTGGACAAAAAAGAAAAAAAAGAAAGAAAAAACATTTATTCAACCATTTTTAGCACAACGTTAATAAGAAACTAGATTTAATAGTAAAAAATTTTTTTTTCTGACACCATTTAAATGGCTCATTAAAACGACTGTGAAAATTGTCACGTGTGGAAGGTGTCGTCTCACCTGGCACCCCATGGGCCAGTGCACAAGGTAAAGGTCAAGGTAGTCCAGTTTAAGGTCAGCGAGCGTCTTCTCGCACGCTTGCTTCACCAGGGGCTTCTCGTGGAAAGTGCACCACAGCTATGAAGCAAACATGTTTCCGAAACGAGCATTTTAAAGAACAGCAACATCAACAGCGTGTCAAAGTATTTTTATAGCAGGCATGCGACGAGACCTTACCTTGCTGACTACGAAAAGATCTTCTCTCTTGACCACGCCCTCTTTGATCATGGCGTTGACCCCTTCGCCCACCTCCGTCTCGTTCTGGTAGACCATCGCGCCGTCGATGTGCCTGTAACCAGCTGCAATGGCTGCTTTCACTGCCTCTGCCACTTTGCCGGGGGGAGACTAGAAGAAAAAATACAAAAATAGACCCAGCTTAAATTGTCCCAACAGATGAACAGAAACAGTAGATAGGTGGTTGGAGAGACTGGCAAAGGAGTTTATGGATTTCAAAAGTGAATTCACATAATAAAACAGCACAATTAAAAGGAATCATTGCCTTTTACATAACCCTTTGGAGAGGGCTAAACTGTTGGCTGAACTGGCCAACAGTTTTGGCTTTTAAAAGTCAGGAAGGATCATTTCCCATTCCTACTCGAATTTCTCACACTGCACTATTTCAGGTTGTGAAATTTGCTCAAAACACCGGCCACTTATTTCTGCAAAACAAAAACTATTTGGACAGGTTAGGTGTGTTCGCGCAGGAAGTTTTCCAGATTGTAACAGGAGTTGATCTGCACCACCACTAGGCAGTGTGACAAAAAAAAAAAAACAAAAAACAATAAACTAAAGTGGGACTAGCTTATCTAAGGAAAATAATTCTTTAGTTTTTTTTACAAGTGGGAGGCTGAGAGGTTTTCAATGCAGACGTAACGT